TAACTTTTACCCCCCCCCCTTAATGATAGAATAGTATATTAAAGTACAAGTTGCAGAAGGCCACATATTCTCGCACGAATTCGAAATTTGGCCTTGAGCGACGAAGGAGCGAGTGGCCGAACGAATGAGTGCGAGAATAGCCTTCTGCAACGTGTGATTTATACTATTTTCTCGATTTTAACTTTTATTTAGGTTTTTTTAATTGTTTTGTGGTCGTTGTTAGTTGGGGGATTTTTCTCGCAAAATGTAAGTTGGCAACACAAAATGACAGTTGCATGGACAGGTAGACTTATTTGTATTTACTATTTATTAATAATCTGTCTGTATTTGTCAACTGGATAATAAGGTTTTGTGTAAGTATTGTATTATTTTTTAATGTTTTCTGATATTTTTGAACAATTGTGTTTACTTTTAGCAGTGAAAAATGTCACAGGAGGTTTTACAAGCAACACCAAACATTACAATAAAAGTTTATAACAATTGTGCTAGTGATTAATTTATAGTAGTTTTGTGTTTTGTGTACTGTGTGTATATAATATTTCCAATAAAATATAGTTTGATTGACCTGTTTGGCTCATTTATTTGTCAATATTTGTTATCCCGCACAACCTGAACTGCACTTTTTCACATTAAACTTAAAATTTTGCATTAAAATGCATTGTTGGAGCAAACTTAATATAACAAAACAATAATAAAGGCTTCATTTTCAATAAAAGTGTAGTTCAGGTTGCACTAGTGCAGGATAACAAACAAAGCTATTATAAATAATCCTTCTTCTTCTTCTTCTTCAACTTTGGGCGGACTTACGGCTCAACCACCGCCCTTGTGGTCCTGGACAAAAGTCCTTATTAACCAGGTACAAGTTTTAACGTCCAATGGTTCCAGAAGACCCAAAAACCATTGGACAACGGTTGTCTATTAAACACGTGGACGACACAATTAGGTTATGTAACCTTAAAATTTATAATAGCTTTATATAAATTCCTCTATTCCTTTTAAAAAGGACAAAACGAGGAATATTATCTAGCACTGGAATCCGATTCTGTCTTCCCTGAGTCAAAGTCAACTATTTTTCACACTTTTTCATGGAGCAATGCAGGAGCGATGTGCTTCTCACCGAGGACAAAATCGAACTCCATATAAATAATCCTAAAAGTAGGTAATGAATTTGAGGTTATTAAACAGTTTGACATTTTGGGGGTACCAATACTTAAAAACTAAATGTTACCAAAAATCGTTTAAGAATGAGCTTCATTCTTCAACGATTTTGCGTGCGAGAATATGACATTCTTACATAAAAATCGAGAAAATATATTTTTTAAATGCCTGCCTAAAATAAAAAATTGACGTGTGCAAACGTTTTTTTTTAACTTTTTTGTGTAACACCTGAGTGAATGAGTGAAAACTTTGCATTGACACCATCTATACATTTATAACAGTTTTTGATAACATATTTTGTAAAAAGTAAATACAATAAAAATAAATAATTCTTAACGTTAGTCTGTCTGTGAGTATATAAAATTATCTATAAAAATACAACTTTTATTTGATAAAATAGATAACATAAATAATTATTTAAAATAAACCCATCGGTAATATTATAATATATTTTGTTAAAATAAATAAAAATTTCGGGAATTTTTATTAAAATATTAAACATTTTATTTGATTATTATTAGGGGTCATTCATTAATTACGTGAGGCAATTTTGGCGATTTTTCGACTCCCCCCTCCCCTCCCTAATCTCACGTGAGATTTTTTAAAATGCATGGTTTTAATGTAAATAAGTTAATCTGTGATTGATTCCATTAGATTTATTAAAAAAAAACAATTGTTAAAATTGTTTACTTAATTTAACCCAGTTTTCTCGCAATTTTACACTGTTTCATTCGAAAAGAAAAAATTACGTGATATTTGCCGAGACCACCCTCCCCCCAAGTGATATTGGGTGAGGTTTGGCTCGACCCCCTCCCCCCCTAAACATCTTACGTAATTAATGAATGCCCCCTTGCTTGTTATTTTTAAAGTTTGTTTTGTTCGTATATAATATAATGAGTATATAAGTTTGACTATTTCCCTAGTCTTAATTTCCACCAATCACAAACGCGCAATTTTGAATTAAAAATGGTTTCTAGGTGAAAAGCACCTGTCAGCAGTTTACCCGCGGCAAAACTATATGACAGCACCTGTCAGCAGTTTACCCGCGGCAAAACTTGACAGCTGTTGTCACCAAAAATTGCAATTTATATTTTAATTGTTAACTGTTACTCATGAAATAGTCTTGTCAAATACCATTCGGGCATCTAATTTTTCCTGTGAAAAAAATCGGAAAAAACACAATGCTAAGTAATATTTTTTAACAAAATGCATTCGTGCAGGTGCAAAAATCCTCGTCTTCGACTCGGATTTTTGTTGCCACCAGCACTCATGCTTCTTGTTAAAATATTACTTAGCAACGTGTTTTTTCGATTTTTTTTTCGAAAGATGCCCTTATGATATTACTTACGATAAAACATAGATAGTTAAATAAAATATCATTAAAACCTGAAAAAAAATATTTAAAACAAAAAGGGCATTTTTACATACAATCGGTTTATTATTATTAATATTATTATTATTAATAGTTAAATGTTTAAAAGGGCTAAGCTACTATTGTAGATTTAAAAGTTTAAAACTTTCGCGCTAATAGTTTCGGTCGGTCGGTTTGGGTTTATTTCGTGTTTGATTCGGCATTGCACGTGATATTGGTTAATTATCTGAAGTTGTCTGCAAACGCTGGTCACCTGTTTTTTAATGGAGTAATTGTCAGTTAATGTTCTAAACCATTATGTAGAAAATAATTTTTATTTATTTCTAAGGTGTTAAAAATACAAAAAACGTTCGCACACGTTTTTTATTCAAGGGGACCATTTTTTAAATATTTACAACCCCTCAATCTTGATTCCTAGGTAGGGATGATAGTTGATAGGTCTTTTTTCCGCTTAGACGTTTAGGTTGTAGGGTTAAAAATTAAAATAAATTGTTGCCCCTAAATAAAAAATTGACGTGTGAAAACCGGTGTGGAAACTTTAGATTGAAACACCCTGTATTTGATAAATACACTGCGCGCATAATAATAAGTAAAAAAATTCTAACTCTAAAACGCCTTCACCAATCTTTATAAAATTTTGGATAAAAATACTTTAACTTATATCTCAGTTTATCAAGGGTTTTTTGAGAAAATATCCTTAAAGCCCTTTAATTTAATAATAAAAAACGCTCAAAAAAAAACTTTTATAGGGAATTTTTTTAAGTAAATAAAAAATATGCTGTGAAATACCTTATTTTTGTAAGTATACCCTAAAAATGTTGTACAAATCAAACGAATAGTAACGAAAATACAGCGCTTTAAAGTCATCAAAAATGACCACTTTTCAGCAAAATAATCAAAAAGGGGCATTTTTAACGACTTTGAAGCATTGTATCTTCGTTAATGTTCGTTTGATTTGTACAAAATTTTCAGGGTATACTAATAAAAATACGGTCTTTAACAGCATATTTCTTATTTACTTAAAAAAAAATACCTAAAAGTTATTTTTCAAACGTTTTTAAATTATTAAATAAAGTGACTAAAAGGACATATTTTCTTGAAAAACCCTCGAACATATACCTATAACATGTATAAGATGAAGTATTTTTTAAAAAATTTCATAAAGATTAGTAAAGGCGTTTTAGAGTTAAGACTTTTTTTACTTATTATGCGTTAATTTTGACGCGCAGTGTAAAAACCTATCACTTTATAATTTGCAATGCCAAAAAGAGTGGGGCTCTTTTAAATAATCTAAATTTGACAAATCTTTACACTTTTTACATGGGAATTGACAGGTAAGTAGGTATAAATAAAATATCGCAACAAAACAATTTAATTAGATTTTTTATAATTTAATTTTTTAATTTTTATTTTTTTGCAATTGAAATTGACCCGTACATTTTTAGATGTTGAATCTGAATATTTAAAAAAAATATGTTTTTAATGTACGCAAATAAAAAAATACTACCGACCCATTTGTTAAATTTAGGAATAAAATACAATATTTACCGTAATTTTAAGTATTATTTTAATTATTATTTACATAATTTTTGTAATTATTTAGTACTTTTTTATTAATGTCCTTTTTTTAATTACGTATGTGTTTTTGTATTATTTTTTAATATGTTTATGTTATTAAACTAAGAGTACTTAAAACATATTTTTATTTAGTGGCCCATATATCCACAATAAGGGCGTTCGTGTACTACGTGCATTCAGGTTTTTTTTGGCTTAAATTGCAGATTTAAAAAGAAAGAAAGGAATATTTCGTGTAAGAATAACTTTGATCTGTCATAGATATTGTTGTCATGCGGACCACGATTAACGAGGGTGCCATTTTGACAATTTCGTGTCATATGTATAAAACCGTTATTTTCCAAAAATATGTTATGTTTATGAATATCTGTAAGGTGTCACTTTGACCTGTTATATCACAAGTTCATACATATTGGTGTCATTAGGACCAATATTAAGGGGGGTGCCATTTTGACAATATTGTTTTATACGTATAAAACAGTGAAATATCTTGGCAACGCTGTAGGGTGTCAGTTTGACACGCAATATCACAAGTTCATACATTTTGGTGCCTCATAGACAAGATTTACATGGGTGCTAATACAGCAACATGTGATCCTTCTATTTTATACGTATATAAGTGTGGGTGTTTGATTGTACATCGGTTATGTGGGTGTCGTAGCATACAATTAATATATATATATATATATATATATATATATAGTAAAATCTTTCACTGTTGATGAAGATATCTCTTCACTCAACGCTTTTAGTATGATTAAAGTAATAAAATAAATTAGGAACGTTAAAATTAATACATTGTTTAATATGTGCGTATATTTGTATAATAAGCCAGTTAACTTTAAACTGCGTTTAAATTAATACCCATTCTAATATTCCCCTGTTTAATTTCCAGGTAATGACGGCAAATTGGATTTCCCCGGTCAAATCAAACTTTAAATGATCAAATACACGGTGAGTTCGCTCTCTATAATTCCATAAAATGGACCATACACGCAACCGTCCCATAACTCATATTAGCTCGTACCTACCTTTTTTAATACGGTCCGCGTGTGCGCCGCTCTCAGGGGGCGCAATTAGGGACTCCCCCGTCTAAGGGACCTGACGAAAGCTTTTGGCAATTAGGTGTGTTGCGGTCGGTGAATCCTGATGGAACGGCATTACCGCAGCTTCGAATTGAAGGATCCGGGAATATGTGACACGGCAAAAGTTCCGGGTTGGTTGAGGGGCTGTAATGAAAGCTTTTAATGCAAAAGTTTGTGGAAATTTAATGGAAAATATCATGTGCACTTAGTGTTGTGTAGCAGAGATGATGGCCATAATTATTTAACTTAAATACTAAATAATAGATGTATTTAAATCGAGTTGTTCTTATACATTTTCAAGAAAAGTTAAATCTAAAGTCGATTTTATAATGTTATTTGTTCTTTTATAAAGAACAAGACAAAACATTTCTGTATACCACGACGCGTCGTGACGTGGGGTGCATCACAAAATCATTGCAAAAGGGTTTTGTTATTAGGTTCTGTTTACATATTTTATCGTTGCTCATGCATATAAGAAAAATTGAAAATTTTCATTTAAACCAAAAACATCTCTCCTTTCAATTAGTTTAACCCTTAACCACCGACATCATATATTCATCACCCTATTACCGCCGTGCGGTCACAGTGACCGCTGCCTTTTATTTAGCTTAATTTACACTCATTTGCTATTTTTTAATACTTTTATGCAATAGGTGAGTCCACTAAGATATAAATTAAAGGAAAAAAATAAATTATTGAAATAAAAAAAATTTAATAACACAAAAAAAAGTATGTTTACATTGGTAAGCATTTATGCTGGAAAATCAAATTATATTTTTTTATTACTCAATATAAAAAATATTTAAAAAATATCAACAAAATAATACTAATTTTCACAAGTTAATAGTTGACTTTTTGTAACAAAAACAAAAAAAAAAGAAATATTCAAGAAAATAACAAAAATCACACGCTTCAAAAGTTACAAATTTTGTTTGCAATTTACGCACAATTTTGCACTGCATCTTGGTCAGAAAAATCATTTTGATCCTTTTCATACCACTTCAAACATGTTTCCTCAAATTTTGGATCCAATACACTCACTTTTTCATTTAATTTTATTTTTTTAGACGGTCCAGGTTGATCAGCCATTATCGTACATTAAAGTTTATGCGAACCAGAAAAGTACACTAACGCCGTCCTGCGGTCACAGTGACCGATCGCAAATTTTAATTGGTTATAAAAAGTAATCTAACTGATGCACCACCGCTTGCTTGCAGTACTATACTGGTAACAATGCCGATTGAAGGTATTAAGACGCTGTAGGCGTTATCTTGAGGCTGGGGTGAAATAAACACTAATCATAATTCGGCTGCGGTCATCATGACCGGACGACGGTGGTTAAGGGTTAAAATAAGGAGCATGGATGGTGAATACCCTTCGAACGGAATCTGATATAGAAATCCAGGACAATTTAAATTTCGTGTTTCCTTACTAACGAGAAACGCCTTTTCAGTGTTGCCATTCGACCACTTTCTGATATACACACCCTATTATAATTCTAAATTGATTTTCTTTAATAAATTGCGTTTTTATTCAAATTTAACGTTATAAAACACATTTCCCTTACAAGTTTATGTGGACGCAAAATTTAATTTTTGTTATTAAAAATTTTGTTGAATTACTGGGAGGATTTCGTTATGTTATAACTTACCCAACCAATTTCTTAATATTAAATTCCTACACGAGATAAACATTGACGTGCTTTAATCAATAATTACCTTACATATGTCCATTATGTTAAAAATTGCTCTGAAGTGTGTAATTTATCTCTGCCCAATTATAACCTATTTGAAACACCTAAAATTGACCTAATGACTTACATTAAAAATCGTTATCCCAAACTTCAAAAACTTTCACATCTACCGATCTGATGGTAGCCAAAACACAACTGCCATGACATTGACGTCTTAATCTAGTCGCTGGAGGTAGTAAAATACGGCCCAAAAAATATAAGTGAAAGTCACCCCAATAAACGTTACGCAAAATTCGGTCCCTCGAAAACATTTTACGACCTAACGGTACCGGATTCAAACCCAGGCACAACAATAAAATTTTAGGATACCTACCAAAAAAATGGAATAGAAAGTTTTTTATGGTTGCTTCGCTGCTAGAGGCTTTTATGCTTTTATAAGTGAAACTTTGGGTCAGATTTTTTGCAAGTACTGTTATTGGAATTTTAAACAATTTCAATATTACTTTGTTTAATATTAGTAGGTTTCTAAACGCTATTCCTAATAAAAACTGACAACCAATTAATCAAAATTAAATTATTTTATATTTAAATTAGCACAGCATGATAAGTAATTTATTTGATTAAGAAATATGTTGATTAATACATTTATTAAAACTCCCCTATAATAGTTTTTATTTTAAATATGTTGGTAGTTACCTACAAATACACGGAGAAAAGTAATTTTTAATTTAGTACTTATTGCTATAACTTTGTTATATTATACCCATGGGTATTGATGGTTAATAGTATAATAAATATGACATTGCTTTTAAAAACAATTATACTATATAAAGTTAACAATATATCCATTTTTTAATTTAGAATACATTACAATAATACTTTTATATATTATATTAAAATTGTTTACAATTTATTATTAAAACGGTTGCATTAAATACTAAAAGTTTGGGAATAATTTCCAAACACTATTGAAAGCAACTTCCCAATACTATTTTTATATAATATTATATATTATATAGTCGGCTATATATGCTTTATGCTTTATAAATACCATTTTATGTCATTTTTGTCAATTATTCTTTATGCCATTCCCGCGTTATTTCCTATTTTATCTTGTGCATTTTGTTGGTTAATTAATTAATTATTAACAAATAGTTATTCATTATTTTTATTATGCACGTGTATAAAAACGAATCCTAACCTTAAATTATTTATACCTACTCTTTGTTTTGATCTTTTTTGTCTCTTACGTATACTTTTTTAGTATATTTCTAGTATTTTAAGTGTGCACGTTTGCACTTTAAAATCACCACATGCGTAGAAGACACTTTAACAATATTTTTGTGTTTTTTCAGTTTGTTTGGTAATTACTACCTACTTTTTAGTATAAAAATAGTTGCCAAACATCACACGTATGCAAAATATATAACTTTGGGAATCATTACTAAACTAAAAGCGCTCACTTCTAAAATATCAGAGTTGCTTTTTCTCAAAACAGTTCTCTTTGTATACCCATGCATTTTAATAAACTAGGCAATAGCCAGATATTAACCCTAATTACACAATTTGTAATACACATTTGGGTGTCTCACTTTTACTCCTGTACTATTTTTTTTTAAACGCTAAAATAGAATTTTGTGTTTTTACTAAAAAAGTCACCATACATTTTTTCAGATTAAAAAAAATATTCAGAGGTCACTAAATCATTTTTTTATTAAGAAATGGCTCTGTGCATAGTTTACGCATAACAGGTATTTTAAAAATTTTAAAAATAATTTTTTATTAATTACAATATTTGACTATTCCATCCTGCAATGCACAAAAAAAAACTAAGTTTAAAGGAGATTTTTAAACCAAAGAAGGTGTAAAAAATTGGCAAAACTTGAAGTAAATATTTTCTCTTTTATAGCCAACAATAAGATCGATAAAACATTATTTTAATACACAATTTAGTATTTTGGTATTTCGAAAATGCAGGGGGGTTATTTTAACCACAAACAAAAAATACAAATTTTTTTTTCGACAAGTAAGTAGTTTTGAAGTCATTAAGTATTTAAATCAGAAAATCCCAATTTCTAAATCATCAAAACTTTGTTATTGTTGACAAATTTTTAACTTTTTATTTGTGAAACTTTAAAATTGTGTTTAATTCTTTTATAAATAAATATTGTTTTAAAGCCTTGTAATTCGAAAACTATTTGTCAAAAAAATAATTACCCCGAATTATACAAAATTGGTATTTTGGTCACTTTTATTCTTAATTGTTAAAAATAACCTACATAAAAAATATCTAAATACAATTACAATTTCCCTGTAAGAAAATAAAAATCTTAACCTTCGTTACCGTGTTTATTTACTCATATATCACAAAAAACGAATTATTTTTTCATAAAATGTTTACCCAATGTGCAGCTACTTGGATAGTCATTTTATGCCAGCAATCGAAAAAATATCATAATAATTTGTCTGAGGGTTACGATTATTAACCTCCGTTATTTAGGCAGATTGCGGCCGAAGCCGAATATTTTAACGTAAAGAGTTAAAAAGATCGGGCGTCATGACGCGTCATAGTGTTAACTAACAATTTTAATCCGATATAGAAGCAGTTTTTCACAGCGAAAGTGAAAATTTTAAAGTTAAATCTAGTTTAATGCCGGCGAAATTAAAAGGTCATTACAATGTTCATAAAAACTTTTCAAATATTGGCGTTAAGAAACTATTTAATACTTTTGTATTTTTGTATTAATATACTTACGTAATAAAATGATTTTCATATATAGTATTATTTTACGATTGTCATATATGACATTTGACAACTGTCAACTAACTTAAAACTAACTACAGCCCGTGACTAAAAGCCTGTTGCTAACTTGTATTTAAAAGATCACTAGTGTCAAAGTAATGTTAAAGTTAAAGCAAAATTGTTCGTGAAAATCAGAAGATAATAATTCTAATATAGATGAAAACATAACATATGGGTACTTATTATATGGACATGGATATATCCATATATGGATATTATTTAAGATAGTTCCGTGAAAGTGGTGGAGTGAAAATAAAAATAAAATGTATAAAAACGTAATCCTGTTATTGGGCCCTGGGCCTGTTGGATACGAATAAATAAATAAATAAATAAATAAACATGAACGATAATTAGTGTTTTAAAGATGGGAGTA